AAATTAGGAATATTTTTCCCAATTTATAGTATTTTATCATATTTAAGCTAATGAAATGTTTCAAATTGATGTGCGTAACTTTGATTTAAGTAGCATTTTCTGTCATTAAGTAATAAAAACTACTTTTAAATGCTCGTTCATACTAATATAATCATTCTTACAACAAAATTAACGAATGAAATACAAATAAAACTAGGCAAATACCTCTCCGACACCGTCTCGCTGTGTCTAATAGTATTAGTCTGTTGCTGACACTATCTGGATACAGGGTTACCAACATTTCAGCACAATTGTAGAACATAAATAAATAAAAAACTTTATGAAGCATTTGCTATGAGATTTTCATCTATCAGACACGATTTAGCAAAACATTTTTACAATATCGTTGTATGTATTGAATAGCGAAAACTTCGAACAATTTTCAATAACGCTCAACGATATTTTCTTCAATATCTGTAAAATGCAACTGAATATCGCGGAATCCGATGCATTTGTATGCCGAGAGCTATTACCCAGCAAATATTTGATAAAACAAGATTGAAATATACTTCTAATATCGTTATATACTACGGTTCGGAAGCTACGTACTTATTGGATACATTTCAACGCGAAACGTTGCAACATTTTTCTTTTAACGTAAAATTTAAATCGCGAAATCCAGGTGAACCTACAAGGAGCGGTCGTGCGAAATTAGTTGTAAGCAAAATTCAGATCCAGTGCTGAATTTCTTTGTAAAAAGTAATGCTTTTAAAAATTCATTCCCTTATCTAGATGCGACTGGCGTAATCTGTGATCAGTGTTTCGGATTAAATAAAATGGAATTTAAATTTTTAATGGTTATGGAAACTCTTGGAAACTTTAACTATATATAACATAAAAGAAATATCTCAGATAATAATATATAGCATATGTTCTAATTCTGCTATTGTTATTGCTAACTCAAATGTATGTAAATAATAATAATTATCTTTATAATACATATATACATGCTTAAACAGTGAAACCCTTGTGTGAATTTTGTATAACTTAATGAACACTTCAGTATCAGAATTTGAAAAACAATTTACTACTGATATAATGTGTATATTCAAGAAAACTGAAACTTTTATCTACAATGAGACTGCCTTAAATACTATAATTATAATCGAAATTGATTTAGAGAACCTATTTATATGAAAAGTGACCTTTTAATACTTTTATCTTTTATTTTGTTAAATTTATAAAAACGAAGTTCCAAATTGACCTGTTAGCGTTGAGACTTAAGTTATAACATCTTTTCTAGGAATTCTTTTTCATGGTTTTCATGATGGTAAGTAACTTTTTATATTGCTGTGTTAAAACTTCTGGATCTAATTTTTTGTACTGTGTCTTGAACGAACCCGGGCCGACTTCGACGAAAGGGTACGCACCCATTTTCCTGGTTAATATTCTATCGTCTAAATGATGAAACTGAAAAATAATTAATAGTTTAAATTTAGTTGGCCTATAAAGATATTTTTGTTAAATACATAAGTAGCAAAATAAAAGTCAAGGTATAGTTGGAATACCCCAGTAAAAAGCTTAAATTGTAAAGACTTGTAATTGGAGCATAGCCTACATTTTCACGAATTTCAATAATTTTATGAGGACGTCAATATTTGTTAACACAAAAAAACAATGGAGCACATAAGAATGTACAGTAAATTGTAAATGATTTTGGAATATAATATTAAATTGCTCATTTAAAAAATTAATTAAATCCAATTATTTATTCTACTCCTTATTACATTAAATAAACAGCAGGAACTTAATAATTATTTTACTTAGTTTTTAAGAATTTGAAAGAACTAAAAATTATATGTTTGTAAATTAATATATTAAATGTGAACCAACCTTGTTCTTGAGTCCATCGGTAAAGTATATTACATGCACAAAAGAGATGACCACTAATGTTTTTACCAAGAGATTTATTAGAAGACAAAAATTCATAATCATGTTTGTGGTGCAACTGAAAGAAAAACCCGCGTATGTTGAATTTATTTATTTATTTTATTCATGCTACAACTCGTGGTTAATAAACAGACAAAACAGACAAAAAATCATTGCTACGTAATAAGCTTTGTCTCTTCGAAAGCTAAATTACAAAATCCTGTAAACTCACAAATAAGTCTTCTACTTAGTATATTATGTAATAGATATAGATTAAAATTACTACATATTTATTTAAGTGGAACTAATTTACTTAAGTGGAAAATAATCGAAGGAGATATTGGATAATGTAATAAGATACTCGTAATTTTCTCAAATATATTATGTGTATATACATATATGTGTGTGTCTGTGGTTGTGTGTGTAATTGTATTCAAGGACCAGAAAATATAGGACCATCGGTACATATATAAAAAACGATATTATTTGTTATAAATATGACACCCGTTATATTTGGGTATTCGTGTTAACATATTTTGATGTTGTGGGACTTATGTTATTGTGGGACGACCTACAAAATATATTTAAATTATTAAAGAAGGTTGAATGTTATGAACACGGTATATTAAAGATTAAAGTTAAATATTGATTTTATTAATAATATATTTGATATTGAAACCTCAATTTTATATCTTTAATTTCACAGTGTATGAATAAAATATAAAAGTTTGAACATACAAAAAGAATTATTGATATTTTTTTTGGTTGTCTGACACTATTAGCCCTGTTGACTTTGACACCGTGATTTTAATGAGGCCTACCCTTGAAAATTGGTCTAAAAAGGCCCGGGGAGTTCGCTCTTCCTAAGATTGCCTATAAAACGTCGTACCTCGGCTGAAGATGTCTTTGAAGAGGGGGTGGTATAGGCAATATTATAAATGCTTTCATCCCATGGCAGCGAGTCGGAGAGAAGTGTTTGAAACTCGACCTCGTCTTGTTTCTGGTCGGGTGGTGTTTGTTATGGTGTGTTGGTGGAGAATTAACACATGTAGTTTCTGTCTTTATTTTGCCGTGATAGTCTTAAAAAACGTCTTTCGAAAGTTTACGGGACGATAAGTAGACGGCAGCCTACTTTTTAGGTTGTAAGTAAAATTAGACTTCACAAGTAAGTTAATAAGTAGTTTACTTAACAATTTCTCGTTTCAATTTTTTTCTCAAAATATTTATCCGTCATCATTCAACCTAAAAAATGTTATACCCAGAACCAAATTTGTATCAGTCAGTACAATCGAATATAAACAAAAGAACGAAAATCTTAAGTTAACGAGAACTTTAAGTGTGTCTGGAAATTAAAGAATCTGATCTACGTCCAGATGTCAATGTATTTTAAACAAATACTTTATAATCAACTCACCAAAACCGTTGATTTTAAATATCTATAATGATCATGCGACAGCACAATTCCTTATAAAAATATACAACCTCTTATTAGATGTTTCAGAATAAAAATGTAAAGTCGAGTGTCCTACATATATAACAGAATCTAACAAATTAAACATAAAAATATCTAACAACAATAAACAATATGTACTATTATACTGATCCCAAATTTAATTAACTCTGTTGTTTCATGTAGCATTTGAATGGCAATCAATTTGAATTATTCACGGAATGATACATGTATGCCTTCAATTAATTACTTTTAGAAATAAGATTCATTTCAACAGTTTAAATTGAAAACATAATGGCATTTCGATTTTCCCTCTACAATTAATTTTATATATCAAAGATCTGTTGAGAAACCCTTTATTTAGAACGAGTAACATTATATGTAACAAACAAGACGTATTTTATCTCATTCCCGTTTGGTTACCTCAATGTGGCTGAAATCAATTATAAAGATGTCACTAGACAATGAATATATCTCGCGCTGGCGTAAATATTTATAAATAGTATTATAATACAATAAACTTAAGCAAAAATACACCGTCTACTTTTAAGCTTTAATGTTTTAAGTGACACTGAGAACTTAATAGACATTTTATAATGATAATTATGAGCTTTATGATTTGGTGATAATAAACTAACGTTAAACTTAATTTTATTGTTTTTGGAATGTATTTTAAATAATATACCTAGATTAGATTAGAATCTTTAATAAGAAATATTATTAAATAGGGAATTAGGTATACATACATATATCAAAAGGGTAACATGTATATACAGGGTGACTGGTGAATTACTATCGATACTTGACGACGTGATATTTGACAATCATATATGACAAAATAAAAATTAATATAACATAAATATTAATAAACTTCTAAGTAAAGTTAACCAAAAGTTGTGTACTTAATTACGCATCGTGTGAACACCCTACAGATTGGGTATACACACACACACACACACATACACACACACACACACAGACGTGTGCGGCGGCGTGGTGTTGTATCAGCACGCCGCCGCACGCGTCCACACTTGGAACACTTGGAACGTGTCCACACTTTATTTATTTATACGGAAATTTGGTCAAAAATTAAGTACCTATTTTTTTTTACATAATTCGAATGAGAATCATGTACCGAGTATACTCCTTAAATATTGATAGTAATTCGCCAGTCACCCTGTATATCCATTCTTCGTCTTTCATTGGTATATAACAATGCTGCTTTAGTTTCATTTAAATGCTGCTATAATACAAATAAGTCATTCTTAAAAAATATTATTTTATAAAACTAACTGAATTTAGATTTAATGACTTAATAAAGTGAGAAAGCCACGGTTACTTTTTCTCATTTAGGCATAAACCACATTATCTAAGACTATCTTTATATCGGCTTAGTAACAGTCTGCCATTATTAATAAAAATTGTGTTTAATTATTTGTTTAACACAATTAATGACGACCTTCCTCCTTAAAAATACTATGGAAACCTTTTGCAATTTGCCAAGAATCCAACTACTTGACAAAAACGTTAATCAGCTGCTTCAGTTGACAGAAGCCAGTAACAGATTTGTCATTATTTCAAACATTTATGCGTGCCGGTCATTCAACGACTTAAAGTTTTGAATTTAATTACAATTTAACAAATGTCTATATTTAACAGTTTTCCGGGCTTACCGGGTCCTGACGAGACAGCATTTTGTAAGATAAATGAAGTTTATTGTTGTGCCAACATCCGTTATGGAAATATTTCAACATTTACCAATTCGGTAAGGTTAATCGTATTATCTTTTACAATAACTGTACTAATTTTACTAATATTGTATCATTTCAAATTATATCTGTTTTAGATTAAAAATCACCCAAAAATAAATGTAACAAAGGATCTATATCACCATCACAGATTATCAGATGAAAACATATCAGTCTATGTTGATGTTGAAGACAATTTGTTAAAGAAAATAACGAGTGTGTGGTACAAACAAGGCTTTTTAGAAGCTCTTAGTTTGGCTGCTGACCCCAATGTGAACCGAGAGAGCCAGATCCTAGCCATAACAGCTTCATATGCACTAAAAGTTGCAAATTTGTTCACTACCCTAAGATATTTCATGCAACCCCATTTAAAAGATATAGGACCCAAAATAGTATCGAAGTACTCAAGAACTCGGAACTGGAGTAATGCACCAGTGAAATGTATAGCATGGCATCCGCATGCAACAAAAATCGCTTTAGCCACTGCCGATGATAATGTGAGAATCTATTGTTCGGAAGTATCATTTGTTTCTACTCTTAAGTGTAAGGCTCAGGGCCATGTGTCCTCGTTGAGCTGGAGGCCGTACTCGGCATCAGAAATAGCCGTAGGATGTGAACAAGGTGTGATAGTATGGACTGTCGATCCCAATTCCATGTTCACAAAACCATCTTCAAGTAATGCAGTGGTGCTTAAACAGTGAGTGTATAAGTTATAGTAACTATTTGAAGTATAAGCAATTTAAAAGGTTAACTAAATATATTCATTCATTCGCATCTCATCCACCCATGATCATAATTGCTAGAAAATAACCAAAACATTGGGAGTATGTAGTTTTAAATATCATAATATTATACATAGCAATCTGATAATATTAGTTTCATTTAAACTAATCATATTTGTAATTAATGTAATCCAAAATTATAAAATAATTTCTGATATAATAAGAAAAAGATAAATAATAAATTAATTTTGTTAGTAATATTAATTATTATCACTCAGACCAGGCCATAGTCCGGTGACCGATGTAAGCTGGTCTCCGAATGGTGACCTTTTAGTTAGTTGCTGTGGTGCTGATACATCGATGCTAGTGTGGGACGTCAGTATGGAGTCAGCAATACCTTTGAGACGCGTCGCCGGCGGTGGTATCGTGTTTGCGAGGTGGTCGCTTAGTGCAACTAAAATATTTGCTGCTACTTCATCTATAATATTCAGGTTTGTTTTGTTGAAATTATGTCTAAAATGAATAAAATTTTAGTGTCTGTATAATATTAATATAATAAATTTTTGCTTAGTATGTGTGTACAGAAATACAACACAAGTATTAGGTACAATAAAAGTACATAATATGTATGTATTAAAAAGTAGGGAAATAATATTGCTAACAAATTTGTTTGACAGTCTGTGTGTTCAGACTAATTTCTGAAACAACTGGACTAATTCGACAACTGATGTTATTAAGTGTAGCTTAAATATTTATTATTTTACAAAATATATGTCATTTTGTTTACATATATTGTACCTTTTAATAGCTATATTATAAAAGTCTTCATCATCAGCCTATCAGAGCAAACTGCTGAGCAAAGGCCTCATCTCACATGGAGAAGTTTTGAGCATTAATCACCACACTTACACCATGGGTGGGCGATTGCAAAATTACAAATTGAAAATATAAATCCAGGTTTCCTCACGGTGTTTTCCTTCACCGTCTGCCAGTGGTGTTTAAATATCCTTAGAAAGTACATATGACTCGGAAAATCGCATTGGTACTTGCCAGGTTTCGAACTCGCGCCTTCATGCACCTTTAACCTCTAGGCCATTACGAGTTAAAAACAAGTCTTAATTAATTTTAATAATATTTTATTTCAGGGTATGGGATACTCAGACCTGGATCCCGGAAAGGTGGTGTGCTCGTGGTTGTAGAGTGGTAGCCGCTTGTTGGGGTCCACAAGATATTATTTTGTTTGCTGCTAAAAGTGAACCTATTGTATATGCATTGACCAGTACTGGACTTATAAATGGTAAATGATAATAATTTATTAACTTTTATTTATAAATACTTGAATGTTATCTATTTATCAGTTTCAATTATTACATAATAGCTTATGAGTTATATATAACTGGCTTTCCGCCCGCAGCTTGCCTCAAGGTCAACTCCATCTCTGTACAAAATTTCATTAAAATCAGTTCAGTGGTTTAGGCGTGAAAGCGTATTTTCCATTGTTTACCCCCCGCAACCCCCCTTGTGGGTGGAATTTCGTAAAATCCGTTCTTAGCTGACCTCTACTCGGCGAAAGGAATAATCCTACCAAATTTCAAGTCGCCACGCCTTATTAAGATTGTGATTCTTATGTACTATATAAAAAAATTACCAAAGCTATTCATTAAATAAAAATATATTATTATTGTTGGCAAGTACATAATATAAATAAGTGCTATTAGTAAATATAAAGAAACTAAGACTCAATCATTTTATTCCAGGAGCAAAAACAAGTAAAGCCCAACCAGTTCTAGATGTGACAAAGATTGAGTTGCCGTCTGGTGATATTGTGGGTGGGCCAATACTAGATATGTGTTGGGACTGTACCGGCAAATACTTAGCATTGATGTTTGAAGAGACACATATAATAGCTGTCTTCTGTACAACACAATTAATGATGCATCTCAGTGTGTCTCCGTGGTAAGTGGTTAATAATAATAATGTGTGAAGTAAAGGATAGCTAACAAAAATTTTTAGCATAATGAAAAGTGGTTTTATGCTTTATATGATGGATACTTTTCTGTGAATTAAAATATCCTAAAATCTCTAGTTATATGATAACCAAGAAATTTCTATGCAGTCCAGAAAATTATGTTTTAAGCAGCACTTATGCTTGATTATTCTATTATGTTGAATTTGATAACAATGGAATAGTTTAAACTATGAAACCTTCAGAATATTTATTTAAATAGATGAATATGTTTTGATTTGATTGTTTTTGAGTCTTATTTATTGTTATATATTATTTTCTTAATAGTAAAAGAAATACAATTAAAGATTAAAAGACATACATATAAACTAACGCTATTACACGACAACTGGGTTTTAATTGGATCAGATTTTTCCATAATATGAAATGACAAAATTTTAATCTTTTTATATACAATAAAAGCAAGCAAATCTGTAACTTGTTCGACTGAAATAAAAAGCCCTATGATCACATAAATAGAAATGGAAAAGTAAGAAGTATTATTTGGCAATTAATAATATGTTTAAACAATTTTTCAGTTGTTTCATCTCTGGTATCGACACAGAGGTTCCGTCAACCATGGCCTTCCAAGAGAACTTCAGCGAGGGAGCCTGTCTCACTATAGCCTGGTCCAGCGGCAGGATACAATACTTCCCCATCATTTACACTGATAACTATTGTTCCTAGGATTATTTTATTAAACAAATTTGATGATTTGTATTTCACTTATATTCTTTATATCCTATATTAATATTATAAATGCGAAAGTAATTCTGTCTGTCTATCTGTTACGCTTTCATGCCTAAACCACTGAACTGATTTTAATGAAATTTGGTACAGAGATGGAGTTTACCTTGAGATAGAACATAGGATAGTTTTTATCCCAGTTATGAAAGGTTCACTTGGAAACGCGATATAACCGAACTCCACGCAGGCGAAGCTGCGGTCGGAAAGCTAGTAGGTACCCTATATAATGAAAAATACTATTGGCAATTTCTATCAGACCCCGTTTCGAATATAGAATGTTCAAATATAAATATTGCATTTATAATCATGCAATAAGTTAAAGATTCTGTAAATGTATGGTACAGAAATAATTTTGGCCCAAAATTTAAATAAATGATTTATTATTTTTTCTATCAAGGACGGTGGTATTTATAAATAAATATGTAATTCCATCATGTTTTTATAATTTTATATTTTGATGTAAAACTTACAATGTTCAATTAATTTTGCATCGTTGAACTAAAAGTGGTAGTTCTGGTAATGTTAACATTGGATGAATATGTCGTGACCGTCGCACTTTTATCATCTGTTCCATTGTTTAAGAAACGTCTAAATTCAGGATCACTGTCCAAACTAAGTTGAACCTGCACGAGGACATTATTTTTGTCGATCTTCGGTTCTTCGTTTTGCCGCCTGCCTGCATATTGGCCGTTGCAAAGTCTGAACGCTGCACAGATGCGTTTCGTGAACTCTTGTTCCAGGTTTCCCAGATCAACGTCTAAATTTACCTTCACATCATCTTGTATGACCAAAGCAACTTTATCTCTTATGTTACTCAGCCTCGCTCTTAACATCTTTCGTATTTTCTCCTTTACGTTTTCGACATTTTTCTTTATGAATTCAGTTATCAAATTGATGTTCGCTTCGTGGTTTTTACTCTCGTGTAGTTTGAATTTTCTTATTTCTTTCAAATACACGTCTTTGACGGCGGTTTTGACGTCGTCGCTAGCACGGGCGAGCAAATGTATAATTGTTTGCTTTTCCCTAGCATCATCTGCGCTAACTTCTCTAGTGTACATTTCTTCGTAATTTTTTAATACGCTAACTGTTGTATCGTTCAGGGTTTGATAGAATTTGAACATAAAATCTTTCAATTCGTTAGAACATATGATGGTTCTTTGGCAGCGATCTTCTTCTAAATCCGTCGAGTCCCAATTAAGTCTCAAAGGGTTTGAACTTTCTGTGCTCAGATAGGATATTTTTGGAATGAATTCGCATTGTATTTTGTATTTCTTAGAAATTAAATCGGCATCCTTTGATATTTTTTTTAGGAGCATGTGAAGATTGTCAATATATTTTGGTATGTCGCTACTTTTTCTAAAATTACTTGAAAGGAAACTGAAGATACTGTTTTTAATATGACGCCATCCTTCATTCCATTTGTTAGCTATCAAATATGGTTCACTGTTTTTCTGTGACCGCATACTCTGACCGCTACAACGCCCATGTATTAAATCTTTACTCAGATCATCCAACGTTTTAAGAACAAAAGTTTTCGTTTTCTCAGACACTGATTCATCCGTTAAACTTTTTTTGATTTTCTCTCTTATTTTTTTATATTTCTTTATATTATTCTTAAGCAGATTATAGTTTGTGTCGTTATTTGTCATGTCCGTCTTCGGTAGAAATTCTATGATGGCTGTTTCATCGTTGCCCTCTAACAGAAAATTATCTTCATCAAACACGTTACGATCATTATCTTGTAGGTATGGGTGCAATTCAGATATTCTTTCGTTTATTGCCTTTTTCACTGTATTATCTTTGAACGACCTAAACAACGGACTGTCTTGAGGTAAAGATCGCATCAGAGGCGCCACGAATTCATTCAATATTTTCGATATAATAGATTTATCTGGTAAACTGCCATATATTTCTGTTGTAGTCGCTGCCCTTATAACAATTTTCCATATTAATAGGACTCGGACTGTGGATAAGGTAATATTTTAAAGTATATTTTAAATGTTTATATTTTTAGCGATATAGCACTTCTTACCCGCTGACCAGGTCCTATGAACGTTTTTGTAACAAAACATCGTACTGTATTTCACATTTCATCAACACGTGATGTTTATTTTATGACTGTGGGATGTGAATTTAAAAATGAAATATTTCGTCTCACTTTCAGATTGAAGTCATAAAACTATCGTAAATTGAACTATATATGTATATATTTATTTATATTGGCGAAACAAATATTGCTCTCGTTAAATAGTCACGCTATATTCACACTTCACCGGCCTCGTTATATCCGCGCCCATTTTTCATCAACATTTAATTGTGCTTACTAATTGCTATAATAACTTAGTTATGGAAGCTATTTTATAAGTTTTAATTTGTTCATACTTTATTATATAAAGGTAACGGTAAATAATAGAAATATTCTATTTATTGATATAAAATTATTTGAGTTAACCAAGTTCAAACCTGAGACACCGGCAATTACGAATTACGGTCGCTTTTCCATTTGAGCTATCGTGTCATTGATCAAATTACCGAATTTAACATGCTATATAAATAAAATTAATAATAAGAGGATGTTCAATAAATATCATGTAAAGAAAACAAAAATTAAAGCAAATATTTTTATTAACAACGTATGATGGTTTTATAATTTTTATATAATGATAATTGTAACGTATCATAATATATAAGCTTGTTATGCTTAAAACTAATATTGCAACAATTATATCACTTGCATATTAGTAAATCCATAAAAATATTCTTCAAAATATAAAAAAAAATAACTTAATAATATCAAAAAAGGTTTCATTTCGTTTCGGTAATGATAATACAATCATAAAAAAAGTTATAATTTACATTTTTACATAAATCCTACAATCCTTACCGTACTTGTTTAAAATATATCAAAATCTCAATTCAACGATTACATAAAAAAAAGTCGACAAAAAATATTTTTTACACTTTGCTAAGATAAAATTAAACGTGGTTAAAATGAGCTTAGCAACTCTAGCTAACGAACAATTAAAAAAAGATCGGTTCGAAATTAAATTATAGATAATACAAGATTACCAGATCGAATATTTAGATGGCAACACTGAGATATAGTGTATATATTTCGTAATGTTGCCATAAACATCAAAGACTTCGTTCTACCGCTAGCGACCTACACAAATCCTATAACTATTTATCTTTAACTTACTCGAGTAAATTAAGTTTACTATTTGTTTTACGTAACTGAGCTCGCCACGGTATTATTTTGGCCGTTTCTTCTTCGTCTTCTTTGTGTCCGTTTGATGTTGCGTGACCTAAAAATATAATGGTTTCTGTTAAAATATAACACTTAAAAAAAGTATTTAATTATTATTTAATAATAGACTAATTTTCAAATGCCATCGAAATTCTTAACATCTCACTTCAGTTGCTTTTAAATGATTTTTTCCTGTTTCATTTATGCTATGGGTTCGTTTGAATCGGAATTGTGGAATAATTGGTCAATGTCAACGTTTTTATTTGTTGGACAAATTATAATCTTGAGTACTGTGTGGAGGAAACACTAAGGAATTTGTCACGTTTGAATTAAAATAATTAACAAAACTAAATTAGCATGACCTTAAGTTAGATTTCATTATTGTCAACTTTTACTTGTTTACAAATTAAAGCAAATACTTTCGAATCCACAAAATTGTTGCACTATGATCTAATATCGACGTATCTTTTAAAAACGTTTTCAAACCACAACATACAAATATATCCTTGAACAATTCGATGACAATATTCGACCAGAAAAAAATTGATCACGTCATAACAATAGATTTCTGTTAAAAAGTTTGAATCTAAGATTTTGATGTTTTTGCCGCGATAAAGGCACAAGATACCAAAGAAAAACTACCCTTAATGATGTATTACGTAGCTTTTTTTTATTACGCAGGGAAACTCTTTTTACGAGCCGTCCAACCGGCCTTGGTGAGGCCGGTAGGGATGTGTGAGGCTCGACCTGGGCAGCCTACTCACTAAAACCACTTCGAAAGCCATCGGCCGCTATGTTGGTGTACCCCGGATCTGTCAGCGACAAGGCACATGTATTACGCAGCTGAAACAATCTAATTAGTGTTTTTTTGGACCCACCGTTACATGGTTCAGTGGTCAGTTTGGCTTCCGAGGGGGCGCGGACCGGGGCTGCAGTGGGAGAGTCGTAGCACAGAGAGATGTTATCAATAGACACAGCCCGCTGGGAGCCCGGGTACACGCGCCAATCACCGTTTTGTTTGTCATTGGACTCTTCTATTTTAGGCGTGTAGAGTGATTGTCTGTTAACAATATACATTTTATGAAGATATTTGAGATTATATTACCCAGTTATATGTAGTATCTCTTTAAGGACCAAGTTATGATAGCTGTGAATAAGGAACTGGTATAATAGTTACCTCAATCTATGTTCAGCTTCTTCACGTCTAGCCAACAGCTGTCTCTTCCACACAGGGATGGACGCCGCCCTTCTTCTCTCAGCTTCTCCAGCCAGTTCTCGTTCCAGGTCCTTCCTCGCTTTCTCCGCAGCTCTCCGCGCCAACATCTGCCTTTTCCAGGCGGGGATCACATTCCCAGCTGCATCCCTCTCCGGCACCTGGGAAAATCCCTACCGTCGACCAACCGCATGTGTTTGAGGGTGTCCGCATTCGGATAGTGTCCGAATTTTGGACAACCCTTAATGCGAACATTAATTACGACTCATAATAAAAATCTTTTAATTAAATTAATTTCGCAATAAACGACAAATATATCATGTTAATGTATCATTAGCCTTGTGAAATAGATTTCTATTTATGTGACATTTATTAAAATTTATAACGCAATTAATGTTGCAAGGTTGATAAAACATAATAACTAAAAGAAATGCTATTGCTCTTAAATGTAACTTATATAATACTTTTGCATTATTCTCGAACGCATTTCGATATATTATTTGAAATATACAAATATAATAATAATAGTTTTTTTATATACTCATTGTTTATTTGATGTAACAAATGATTTTAAAATAGCAACATTGCGATAAAGTAAGTTACCGTTACAACGGTGTTGCACCACGCGATAATCGTTCACCGAGACGCAACGGGATATGAAGGATTATGAAAAATGATGGAGATATAGTTATAATAAAATGATTCATTAAATATTGGATTAAATTTAATTGATTATGAATCACGATACCAATATATTTTATATGTAATAATATACGTGACATTATATAATTTATTATTTCATTGTTAAATAAAAACTATTATTATATGTAAATAAAATAATAAGTACATACGAAAGTCAATTTAATAATAATATGAATATTTAAATGAATGAAAAAGTTTGTTTGTGTCTAAATTATGTCCTTAAAACTGAAAGCTCGAATACGTAAACATATTTTCTGACGTTTGTTAAAATGAAAACACATTTCCATCACTATCGACCGTCAGAAGAAAGTTAACTTAAAATACGACTCTCATAAGATTTCTAAAATGAACGTGTTAGTTAATATTTCATATTAATTTTAAAATACACAAGTGAAAAGCGAGCAATTATATTTTTAATATGTTAATTACTTGTTATATATAAGTAGTTTTAGTTACTTCTGATTTGAACTACTTTAAACACTACAGTACTACGTATTATGTTTAAAAAATGCTATTTATCAATTAGTTATAATTAATATCGCACCTATCAAAAGAAATGACCAATTAAATCGACAAGCGAGACTAATTCGAAAGTTTACACTAATTTTTATTTATTCCATATTTTTATTTGATTTTAATAGTATTATAAATCCTTTATATAATATAATATTTATATGTATATATAATATTATCGAGTATAATTACAATTTCACTCAAACACAACGTGACTCGTCAAGACGTTTGAGAATAGTGAGAGCGTAAAAACGGATGTGCGTCGTATAAAATGATTTTTACATTAAAACAGTTCGTAATTGAAATATATTAAGTGAAAAGATATAAAGTATTTAACGAGTTATCTGATGCACTATAATTATCTTATTAATATAGAAAACTTTTACTTAGTATCATATAGTGATATTTATTTATATATTGATCTTTGTATGTTTGTTTGTCATAAAAAAAATACTAAATACTAGCAATATTTGATTTTAACCGTATCCATTATTTTTTATACATCCCTCTTATAAATCTTCTTTCATAATATATAATTATATATATGTACATATTACACTATATTATTCGTTTAAAATCGGAATAATATTAAATTCAAAATTGATTTTGGCAATTACAAAACTATAATAAAACAATTAAAACAGCATTATTGTAGACTATAAGAATCAAATATATTGTTGAATCATCTTTATTTATTTACGAAAAAGCTGACAGTTCAAAAAAAAATTACATATCTGACCAAAATATATGCTGAATATTAAATAAATAAACTTTGGTATCCAATGTTTACAAAATCTATGTTTTATTATTTTAGAAAGGAACAAAATCAGAAAGTTTAAAATCATTGCACAAATATGAGAATCATTTGCAATATAATTAATGTAACAGGAAAGTAGACGTTCGTATTGAAAGATAGACTGTCTATTATTATAATATTAAGTCTTACATCAAATGATATCAAGACTTCATGAATAGTAAAAGGTATTGAAGTATTGATGTATCTAATGACTATTATACATTTACGATCAATAATCTGTTATTGATAAATGAGAAAGTTATATGAGTGTTTGAATGTTTGTTTGTTTTACGCAAAAATTACGAAACTATTTCTTATGAATATCAAAATGTATGTATATTAGATTAATTAAAATATGATCGTATGTAATGTAATGGTGCTAGGTACGTAAAAATATTCCAATTATTTTTCGTTTATAAAGCCACTTTATCATTCCCCAGTCGGTTACCCACAAATGAATGTCAGTAAATTGTCTGTGTGATGTGATTTTCTTTTCAAAAAACTTCCACCGAGCGACTAAAGTACGCAATTTCGCTAAAAACGCCAGTCATTTAGTTTCACGGTTGTTAAACTTGGCGAGATAAGTGGATCAATGTGCTGTATGCGTTGCAGTTGCATCTTATGAAAATCATGACCAAAATAACTAGAACTCTAGAACATATCTTTTATATACATAATATTAGGATGTATAGTTGTCAAAGCACGTACCTGATCGACGAAGTTCTCAGCCGTGAAGCGTTTAGTGAACTCCGTGAATGTCTCTTTGTCCTGGAGACTCTCCCGCCTGGCTCGTTCAACCTTCATCTTCCTGATGCCAGTTATGTCCTTGGACATCTTTAATTCTTCGATCAGATCGGTCTTAGCGCTTTTGAAGTCCACAGCACTTGGAAGACATTGCAGGCTGACGGACCTCGCGGGCGGTGCTGACATAGTTTTGGTCGCGATGGTCTTCAGCCTGACAGAAGTTAGCTCGGCGCTGCTGATAGCGGCTAGAGGCTGGTGGTGCGTCACGGGGGGCTGCGGCGGCGGCGGCGGCATATTCTCCGGCGGCGGGGGCGGAGGCCGGGACTCCGCCCCTTCATCCCTCTTGCACGGCGCCGTGATTGTTCTCAAGTACTCCGACGGTTTAATGAGTCTGTCGGGCGCGTTGTTAGGGAAGGCCGGCGGTATGAACGGCAGAGCTGGTTGTTTGTTGACGAGGTTGGGGCAGCGCGGTCGCTCGTCGTCTGCGGCCGCGGACGTACTCCCCGCTGGAAAGACGGCGCGTTAGAGGGGAGAGAAAGTACGAACGAACGAGAAGAGTTTAACAACACGATCTTAACTTACATATTATACTATTTGGATCTATATGAATTTTTAATATTTACGTTCAAATTTGGTGTTATACCATTCGTTTTATCGTGCTTAGAAAATTCTTATATTGTTACGAGTATTTTTTACTTGTGAATAATATACCAAATTAATTTATTTCAGTTACTTATATCAAATAAAATTTATCTTAAACACATGCATTTTTTTACGTTGTAACAAAATTTCTTTGTTTTCAAGTAAAATTTTCTATTAGATGTTATTTATTTTCACTATATTTTAAACATAAATTCCTATAAATTTTTAATTAATTAAATATTTATGTAAAGCTTTGGAGTATTCCGTCTTAAAATATAAAGAAACAATTCAGTCTATGACACATAGCAGCAATTTTCTTAGACTGAATTGCATTAACTAAACAATGTTTAATTTAACAAAAACATGTGTGGATATATTTTAAGGTTTGTTAGGTTTTTGCGAGTACACATTTAAATTTAAGTAAACATATATATGTATATTTGACGTAATTATTGTTTTTCGTATTAGTACTATTGGAACATTTAAGGTCTTAGTGATTCATAGATCATTATTTATTGACTGATTTATATTAGAAAAAATAGTTTTTTGAAATATCCATTTTTATATCCATAATTTTTAATCCAAACCAATTTAATTCACATAGATACATAATAGCCTTATAGGCAAAGAAACTGGGATACGGAATATTAGTAACGGCAAATCCAAAATCAAAAGGTAATTATATGTAGTATTTGTATATATCTAATTTATGTTTATTTTTTATACTATATATTTTTATTTTACATAAAAGTAAATATAACGTTCGTACTATTCTAATTGGCGTAAGTCCACGAAAGTATAGCCTAGTAATTATTCATAATACGCAAGTTCTCGAGAAACTACACGCTCGAACGGACATACGTGATACAAAGAATGTACCAATACTGTTACCAAAGAATGCCCCTACATAATACTAGCGTTTTATACATTATAATATCAACAATTTACAATAACACGTAATGGAATAGAACTGGTTGATTTAAAAGTTTAGTTATTAATACTTTTTTCTTAGAACCTTTTTTTAAAAATATATAAATACTTTTTATAAATCTTGGGAAACACGGTGTTGAGAGAAACTTTGTTGTTGAGCAATATCAAGGTCATTAGAGTTTTTACATCATTATAAAAAAAATGCTATGTCCTATCAAGTACGTCAATAGAAAATTGCTACATCACAACCTAAGAAACAGAAAGACTTATTTATTCTGTGATGAAGCCGTTGTTGCATTTGGAATTATTTTTTTGTTATATTAACAGATGTTTTTTTATTGAAATGTTAACATTTCAGAAGACACTTTTTACTTGAAATGTTACAAGGTGTTATGAGTGGACCTCGTAATTTTTAGGAAAGTTTCAGACTAAATTGCGTCTTTAAGTCTTGTATAAAACAAAAATTCTGTATATATACCTACCTAATTTATTTAAAAAATTGTAATGTTATTTTTCTATATCATCTCATCAATAAAATACTTTGAACCAATATTTTAATTAAAATAATATTTGAAGCAAAAATTCAGTATTTATGTTTAAGAAATTTGAAACAGATAAATTTTTAATACACTGAAAAAATATACGGAAAAGTGAACTAAGAAATTTTTTATACAAAACGTTTTGAATATTTTTACGTTTAATTATTTAAAATAAAAATCTCACATACTACCGTAACTTTTACACACATTTACGTCAATCGATGAAATTTTTTTTATGTGTGTGTGTTGTCACTAAATGTCAAATATGACATTTCCATTCTCCTATTGATATTGAAATAAACAATTAATTAAACAATAAACAATTAATCAATTCATCATTCTGCGATTATGTATAAAGTTTATTGGCACAACACAATTCTAGCATCGATTATTAAATTATGTAAAACCAAAATTTCTATATGTCAAGATCTGACCAAAAAAAGATTTAAAGGCTAATAGCTACTGTTATACAGTAATATTTCATCTACGTATCATTTACAAAAGAAATGCATTTAAATCAGCGAATCACAAATTATAATAGAGAACGTTCAGAAATGAAATAAAATTAAATGAATCATTCGGTCTAGATTCAGTGAATGTGAGCTATCTGTAGATGACCGACATAACTAGTTTAGTGAAACACCTACTGTTAATATTATCAACAATTAATTATTTCAATTCGTCTTAAACTAGCTTTAGGTTATATTGAACATTACCATAATAAAATAAAGAGATTTTTTTAAATATTGGTATATATGGATTGCTTTGGACCGAAACTTTCATTAAAATACAAGGGACTATCAACCAAATAGAGCTAAGTTAGAACAAAATATATATTCTTATTAAAAAAATATATAAATAATAGTTTATTTTAAAATCAGTTTTTTTATCACGATTTTTTCATTTAATTGATAGTCTTCTATTATAATTGCATTAAATTCTATTCAAAAATTTAAGAAATATATATAAAAATTATATATGTAAAAGAAAATATGCAGAACCATTTACTTTAGCTTGTATATTATATATTTGTATGTAGTACGTCAGTCACGAAGTCTCTCGTAAACTAAGAACAAAACCTAGACCAACAACGTACACAAAATAATAATAATATACGTGGATTAAAGGAAAATAACTCTCGAAAAACGAAAGTAAAACTATGTTAAAGTAATTTTACTTTAAATATTTTTTTACTCAATCAGAACAGAACTAACGACCTAATAAACTTGGTAGAAAGTAAACGCTTAATTACCGTACACACTCATTAATATGTACTTAAAATTAGACTTTGTTTTAACAAAATACGGATTGCGAAACTTTAGTTTCAATTATATATTTTTGAGTGTAATTAAATTAATATTTAAATTCTAAATTGTAACAATTTAATTAATAAATTTTGTAAGTAATCTGATACTTTATTTTTAAACGATTTTAATCATAATTTCCAGAATTTTAATGTAACGAATTTATACAATTAATCTTTTTTGTAAGCGTAACAGTTGTAGTATAAGGATTAGAGGAAATAACGCATTTTGAGGCAAATATGAAATATCAATTCATAATAATAATAAGTTTATTATTGGGATAGATTTTGGTAATCACATAACATATGTTTAAAACGTATCAAACATAATTTTTGGGCATATTATATTTATACAAATGAAGTATCAAGTACATAATTTAAATAAATGAAATGTTTTTTTTTATTATTATTTCGTTTCTACATTATCCCGACGTTTTGGTTACTTTACATCAACTGTGATTACGGACAGACAAGATGAAAATTTTTTTGAGATGCAAAAAATATATATATATTTATGTATTTTAACATTTTAACGTTTCCGTGATCACAAAAAAAGAAATGAAAGTTTCTACTAATAAAATAAATGTGTACTCGTAAAAATTCTAAGAAATTGTTACATTATTTAACGTTTTACCCTAAACTCAACTTGAGTATCTCTTAAATTAAAGTTATTCATTTATTTATAATTAGATAGTTTTGTTACGCTGCGCTTTATTTAATAGAACATATTTTTAGAGTGGTTTTGAATTAAAAATTTAGTCTACATACAATTTTATATAGAGAAAAACTCTTAGATAAAAAATTTGACGGCCATTTGACCATTATAAAATTTGACGACCAAATTCATGAAAATGATTACCATAACAAATATTTATTTTCTGTTAAACATATAAAAATATGAGTAAGTTTTTTTTTGGGAAATTCGAAACTACGTATCGGATCTGGTTATAGCGATCTATACACAGTGTGATAATACAGAAATATGCTTTTAGATAAAGCAATGCCTAATTTCCTAGTACTTTGACATAGTTTTCATCACTAACTACAGAGTAAGATTGTTCAAAAGTACAACACAACAGACAATCAAATTCATCTAACAGAAATTATTTCCATATTGACGAGTAGAATTAATTCCTTACTATTCATATCCACAATAAAGTCAAAAGTACCTAATCTTAATTTATAGTAAAAAATAAATATACCTAAATAGAATCTCCAACCAAAAACTTATATTATAAAAACTATCAAATTGAACAGTTAAATTTTCTACTAATCACCATTTGTTGTCACCTGTATGTGACTTACCCAATCTAATCTTTATTTTCGTCGGTAAATACTATCCTATTCAAATTTCGAACAGTTCAATGTCCTACTAAACACAAATTGATCTCCAATCCTATATACTCACCCAATCTAATCTTGATCTCTGAAGGTTTCACCAGGTCTTCCTGAGCTGGTGGTGGTGGTGGTGGTGGAGGGGGAGGAGCTTCATCAGAGCTGGAAGACCCAGAAGATACTCCAGATGACGCTGAAGCAACTGCTTCCTCCGTCACTGATGTACGACGACTGCCAGCGGCTGATGAAATGCGACTGGCCTGGTAGGAAACATACGTAGACATTTTTTTTAATGTTCGTCAAAGGTCTGAAAAGTGTGATATTTATTACTTTTTTATTGAAGGTGGTTAAATAGTATACAGCCTACTTGATGTAAAATAGTCACTACCACCCATGAATATCTGCAAGTTAAGGATGTTGCGGATGCGATGAAGACTGACTGTGGGTAAGGGAGAGGAAAGGGTGGGAAAAAGGAAAGAGGAGGGAATAGGGAATAAGCGTGAATTTTTTTTTAATAATTCAATAGAAGTTCTATTACCGAAAAAATAAAACACAAGGCTGATAATATTACATAAGCTTAAAATAATATCAGCTATTAAAATTTTCGGTCGATTTAAAACGCCATCATTTTAACGTCATTTACTTTTTAATAATGAAATTAAGTAAAAAATAAAAACTTACTTATTTGTAAATTTTTTAGTATTAAGATTAAGCTTGATATTTTTTTAAATCCCATGCATATTCCACATTAATGCTATTAAAGTTTTCGTCATTGTTCTAGATGATCATTAATAGGTTTGCTTGATCTAAATATTTCCGCATTGGTAAATGAGATGGTTTGCGAATTAAAAAATGTTACATTAAGAAAATAAAGACATTATTAACAGGCCTCATATTATTTATTTCTAATTGTCAAAAAATTTTAATTAGTCATACAAAAAACCTTAGAAAATGTCCAATAACTTACAAAATTCTGTGCCTTATGTGTGAGCGCTGCCAGTTTGGTGGCGATGGTTGACTTGGAGGGACTTTCAACTGGCGGTGTCACTTCTTCATATGCTTTGCTGGCACTGAATTACATTCATTTATTAATTTATTAATATATACTATATGTGTGTGTGTGTGAGTGCGTGGCCGTGTTAGTGTGAGCGTGTGTGTGTGTGTTTATATTCCTTTTTTTCGTTCTAATCATAATTGTCTCAAATATTTTTTTATGTTTATAAAGTATTTTACAAACTGTTTCCTCTACCACAAAAAGTTGATTTCAAATAAGAGTTATTCAAGTATATATGAAATAATTTATATCATAGTAAATCTAATACATACGCGTCCATATTATCCCGGGAACTATAGTCAAGTAGTACGCTTCCCGGCCGGCTGTGGCTTCCTGAATCCCGGGAACTGCTCCTATGATGAGATAAAAAAAAATAGTAATCCATAGAAGAAGAAAAGGTACATATCTTTAGCGATAGTGCAAATCCACGCAACTATTCGATAATTCCGCGTATTACTAAATTATACATATAAAATTTTATAAATTAACAACTTTTAAGATAATTTTTTATCAATTTCTAATTATTTAGTGTTTAATTTATTATTTTTTGTAAAAAAAATACCTTTAAGGTCGTTAATAAAGAAAATATTTCAGCTCAAACTTTCTTCTAAGCTTTGCAATCCAATACGTCTCTATGATGCTGGAACCCCATTTAGCTTCGTGCGCTCCCCTACTATTTGAAATGTTCATACATATGGGAATACATGTGGGAAATGGTATTTTATAACAAGTATAAGAAGATTATGCCATATGCTACAATAAGTAGACCTGTTTAGCTATCAAAGTGGCGAATTCTTGAGAAAATATTGACTCGGTATCATATCACAAACGGTATTTTATAACAAGTATAAGAAGATTATGCCATATGCTACAATAAGTAGACCTGTTTAGCTATCAAAGTGGCGAATTCTTGAGAAAATATTGACTCGGTATCATATCACAAACAAATAAATTTGTAAACTATTTAATTGTGCATTACTTATTTCTTCTAATATAATTTTATATGAGCCTACCTTCTTTTCTGGTCACGTGGCAGGTAAATATCTTCATAGTGATGGTCTCTTGAAGGTTCCTCTCGTTCATCAGACGCTGATCCGTGGACTTCAGCTTTAACTATATATAATACATATATATAATGTTTAGTTATTACATATTTACTATTTTCAATGTTAATTCAAACGTCATTAACAAAGAAAGATACATAAAAAAGTCCAAAAACACATCCTTGTGATATTATCTTTATGATAAGTTTCCGGTCTAATAAATTCACTTGTATCTAATACATATTAGAAAGATATATAAAATTATTAACCCAAAAAGAAAACATTTATCGAAATTAAATTAAAAAGTTTCTAATTGAGAATAAATGCAATATGCTACGTAATCCCAACAAAAAAATATAGTTTTAAATGTGAAAAAAATTCATGAAAATATTTTACGACTATCAAAATACCAAAAAAATAAATCTTTAAGAGAATATATTACTTCTAAACACAGAGAAATATCTTTGATAGTATATATTACGTCTGACCTGTGAGTATAGGTGCTTCCTGACCTTCAGCTGGTGCCCTGGGTCCAGGGGAACGGCTGTGGAACAAGTCCCTCACGCGTTGGTATAGAGCCGCTGGAGCATTGGGGTTCCCGCTGTGGAGGAACCAGCCACCAGTGTTGGAGGTCTCCGCGTCTGATGCTGAACAGGCTGATTGAAAGAATAATAGCGGATCAAGTTATGATGGTCGATTGTACTATATGAAGAGATCGTTACAAATATACGCTGTATGTATTTTGATGATCAGAAGGTTAATCATTAGAAATATAAAAGAAACTAATATTTAGGATTACTAAACGTATTTTTTAATTTTGAAAAACTATATACTCCCGACGTTTCGATTACTTTGCAGCAACCGTGATCACTGGCAGATGAGATCTGGTGTGTATGTAATTTTTAAAAATAATAATTAATTACGCGTAGTAATCCGAAAATATTACTTTCATTTCGATGAAGGTACGGGAAAGTCTTGGATCTCATTATTAGAAATATGTATACCCTAATCTATATCCTAATAAGGAATTTGACGCAATATTACAACAATATCGGATTTGATATTTTGAAACTAATCACTGACTTAAAGGAAGTTCAAGTGAATTTCTGCATACAATATAAAATCACAGCTATTATATTATTCTTATATATGAATAAAAAAAAAATACTTTGTTTACCTAATTCTTTTGAACTTAAGTGTATAAAATCTTATTGTTTTTAGTGGAGGCTAAATTTAATATGTTACGAATGTGTCAGGAATATCGTCACAGAAATTGTTGTTCACGTCAAAACAATTACCAAGAAAACGATAATTGTTATTGAATAAATTTAGAGTATGGAAGTAATCAATCAAATAAGTAAACGCTTTTCGCGGTCTGATGAAATAATGTATAAATTTAGTCATTGAGCTGAGGCCTATGTAAAATCTGTTTTACCACAAGGTAATGTCTAAAGCCAGCATTTACAATAGTTTGCGACAAACCCCCTTGCGGGCGACGCAAGAGGGGCGATAATAGACCCAGAAAAAATTAAGTCATTTTGTAGAAGTCTAGCGCGGGTAGAATAAGTTATATTGGTTTGTCTGTAAGTGCAAAAAAGAGGCGGTATAAAATAATTTATCCTCAAAGTCGGTAGAGGACAAAACAAAATTTGGGAACCCCTGTTTTAAGCAAATATTTAAAAAAATCAATGAATATGTTTTTCGATACACATATTTTACCGAAACCAATAAGATTGTCACTATGAAACCCCTTAGTACACTCATGAACACTTCAAGCCATATATTAACGAAGATCAAAATTTTTTTGTCTCTATGTAGGCCCTTTTACAGCTATACTAGTGAATACTCTACATATTATTGAAAATTTTAAAAAAATCTAACAAAAAATCCACTGAATGAAGTCAAAAATTAACCAAACCAATGAAATATTAAGACGTAAATAACAAAACTTACATATAACTTGCATCACAAAACTACCGTTCATACTCCACCTCATCCTGGTGAATGCTACTACCGACTGAACCTCCCCAGCCCTGAACGTTCCACAACACTGACCAGCATCCGCCAGAATTAGTTTCGTGTTACATATCACAATGGGTTTTTGGTAAATTCAGCAAATTTCTAGGTCCATGAACTTAGCAATGAATGTAAATCTGTTAATTCCATTTATTATAGAATATTTTTAACGGGAGTTTAAAAATTGATGACTAATTTTCAAACAGGGATTAAAAATGTTCATACCAGAAGTAGGATCTATTTTGTCTCGTGATTGTGCTTGTGATTTTTGTTTAGACCTTTTCAAAAAAAATATCATTAATTTTGATATCTTTACGTTATCTATACATACACTAATGAGTAATTAGAATTAAATGTGTGTACTGTCCAAGAAGTAATTAGGTTTCTTTATTGGATAATGGGCAGTTAATTTGCTTAATTAATCATGTAATTGAAATTAATAGAAACCCTTTTTAAGGTTCAGAAATCAAAGGATAAAACGGAACGTCAATACTTCGCTGTTTGTCTGTCCGTCACTAAGCTCTATCTCACGAACCTTTACAAACATTATAAATATCACAAATTATATATTTATATAAAAGATGTAACAATACATACAAGAAAATATATAAAATAAACTTTTGAGAGGGTATCATACCTACATCAAACATGACTTTCTGGTGTATTATATATAATGATACGGAAAAATTAATAAGCGATTCCGATCTGCACTTCTATCGTTTTATTCCTAACTAGAAGACCTGGCGAACTTCGTATCGCCCTATAGTCAAGAAATTAGTTTTTTTATTTATATTTTTGGAGTTTACCTTTAAGCCATAAATCTCCGTGTTTTGAAGCGCGACAGAATGATTGACATATTAGTTAGTTGTCAAATCTAATGTCAAAATAAACGTTTCTATGGGAAATAGAAAAAGGCTGTTTCTATGGTTTTCCCAGTAATGAATCAATTTTTTTCAGCTTTTATACCTTCCCTGAACCTCCACAAACATTTCAAGACTAAGATAAGATAAATCCGTTCAGCTGTTCTCGAGTTTTAGCGAGACTAAGGAACAGCAATCCATTTTTATATATATAGAAGATTATTTAACTTCCAAAATCCACATACATCCACATCCCCAAAAAATACCACATACTATTACCTCCAATGGCTTTCTTTAGCTAAAATAGCATTCTACACACACAAAAACATACCCATGAAATGGTCGATTCATATACATTACGTGTACGTATGTGTGTGTGTGTACTTAATATAGTATATTACCTGAACTCTCTTCCCCAGAGCTATGCTGGACAGTGGTGGTCCTCATAGGGTTCACATAGAGTCCGTCCGCGGGCCCCGAGCGAGTGGACCCTACGGAACCCGCGCCTGACGAAGACGAGCCTCGCCTCTCAGACGGAGCGTGCAGGAAGAACGGGGACGGAGGAGTGGCGTTCATACAGCTCGGGAGAGCGCACTGGAAATATTGGGACACTTTAGATATAATATTATTCATCCTTTTTTTTTTGTTATCGCTGGAAAAATGCTTTTCGCATACCACTCTACCCGAGGTAGGCAGTTGTGTATATGTGGGACTCCTAGGTTTATGCACCCAGTCTATTTATAATGTGACATTAAGAAATACATACAACATTAAATTTCAAGGTCAGCTAGTATATATATGTATATGAGATTTTTTCTGAGGATTTGTTTGTGACTCTTTCACCCAAAAATTACTTAATGGATTTTGACTTAACTTTCCAATAGTGTAGCTTGAACAACAGCATAATATATAAGCTATAATTTTACACAGTTTGTAATGGAACAAGACGTTTAAATGTTAGTTTTGTATGGAATTGACAAACGAAGTCGCAAGAAAAAGTTAATTACGTAATGTAGTGATTGAACAATTTCATAATGCGGAAATCAAGTGGTGTATATCAAAGTAATTTTACTTAACTTATACATATTTGTAAAGTCGACTATTATGTATTTTGAAACCAAAAGGATCATTGTAAAGTGAGGATTTTTTAGATTATAATAATAATGACGTCATATACCATTTACTTTCTTATTAACTTTTGTTAGGAAATTTATTCCCTGATAATTTTATTGAACTAAATGTAAATTTTTTTTAAAAAAGATTTAGAGTTGATCACGAAACATTTTTTGTGACGTCACCTTTTATTTTCATTATTCTTTATCATTTATTAAGATATTTTTCAGTAAATTTATTAAGATATTTACATTGTCTTGTAAAAAAAAAAATACAAATACGTGTATCTGTTACTCATACTGTTAACTTTGATATTATACAATTCTAGATAAAATAAATAAAACTATGTTTCTGATTGAGAAGAAATGCTAATCTCAAATAGAATGAATTATATAAAGAAGATTTTGTAGATATTTTTTACCTTCAGCTACTTGACTTCAAAAGAGAAGGTTGTCAAATCATTAGTTTCGATTTTTTTTATTTAAAAGCTGGTGCTTCCCGTATGGTACCATTTAAATTTGATCCACTCTTAACAATGGTAACCATCAGAAAACCATATATATTAGCATTAGGTATGTATACGACAAATGAACGAGTCACTTCAACTTCAACAGATTTCAATGTATATATTTATAAGAATAGACTTCCCAGGTGAAAAGATATATAGTATTTATACAATAATAATTAATATATAGTAAACATGTTTTGTCCTTCACAACTTTTTCATTCTGTTTGTTGTAACTCACCCTCGGCTCTCCCGGTGCGCAGGCGCACGCGTGTATAGCTTTGTATGAAGACAGCTGTTTGTTTTCACCAGCCGCGCCCGCCGCCACCAACACGTTCAGACACTGAGAACAAACATTAAAAAGTTATAAATACACACATACATATTACGTCCGTACATAGATACTATACATACATGCATGCATACATACATATGTATAAAATACTACTAACTTTTTGTATATCAAGTATTCCATACATATGTAAGAATATACTTATAATAATAAAATTGTTTTCGTTACATACATACGTTTATCAATATAATTTTTTTCATATATTTTTTGGTTCCATTCCATTCTTGGTACTTATTTAAATTTATATGTGTAATGGTTCAATATATGTAAGTGTAAATGTCCATTTGTTTATCAACCACTGGACCATACTGAACCTATTCAGATGAAATTTTGTCACTTTATTTTTCTGGAAAATTACAGGCTATTTTTTTCCAATCATTTTGGGGATTATACCGGGAAAAATGCTAGTATGAAATTATTTGATATATATACATATTTATAAAGGTTTGGCCAAAATAAAACTATCATTAGTTTCATATTTCTACTGTATATTGATTGATATGTAGTATAAATTCTAATATCATTCACGCATACACAATAACAGACTTCCACGCGCATTACAAACATAACACATTCTAGTCGCCGAGTCGGATAAAAAGTGATATGCAAAACGGAGTAAGGGCGTATAAAAAATATTAAAAATTTCCATAATTTTCTAATTATTGCACATAATCATTAACAAGTGATGCACGTCGAATATCATTGGCCTGTTTGTTACGAACCAATTGACGGAGCAGTTACTACACTGTAAAATAATTACCGCATCTAATAAGGTATTTATTGTAACGGGGAATCGATATGCGTAATAGAGTGAAGCCTTGGGTTACATAGAAACTGATTATGGAAAGAAAGTGGCTTGAATATTTGAAGAATATGTGTTGGAAACATTATTGTTGATATAACATATTCCTATCTTAAGTTATTGCTGACAATATTATAAATTTACGTATGCAAAATTTTGGTCTAATATAAATTAAATGTATTCACATTACATACGAGAAATATGAAGGGACATATGGTTCAAATTATATTAATTAATATAACTTAATTTTGTCTTATAACATTTTTGTATAAAACTTCATGTAATCTGTTTATAAAATCAAAGAATCTCTTTAGAGTCATAATATGTATTAGTATATACTTATTTTATACTAATTAATTAAAAAGTAAATTTCGTCTTCTACGAAAGAGTAATTAAGTTCTTATTGAAATAGTTCACTAAACATCTACCTTATTATTTACTACGTCTACTATATTTGCCACCAGATAAGATAGACCCACACCATCCAATTATTATTAAGGAACATGTATAGAGATTGAAAGCATACGAAGTGTCATCAGAATTAAAGGAAATTATATGTAAATACGTATAAAATGACATCAATTATATAATTTGTTATGAAACGTTCGATTTTATCGTGACTTCCTTAGACAGATAACATTATAAGGCCTAGTGACTGCACGTTTCATAGCGACAACACGACGTCGAGTGCATTTAGTACAAAAAATATCGAAACAAGTCTTCACGAAAAATCATGCAACCAATACAGGATTGAACTTAAATGATTAAAAATAATCATAATAGGAATGAATGTATTATATAGATATAAAATGTCAAACCAATTCATCTTCGGATTAATGTTTTTATAAAAAGTTACATAAAGAAGATTTTAGACACAAATGGCACGATATTGTCCGCAGAAAAACGTTCACGTGAGGTATCAATAATTAATCATCATTGAAGAAACTTATACGTATAAATGAAGATATTTTATTAAAAGTCACATAAAATTTATCAACTTACTTCCAAGTGATGGTTTTCAGCTGCATCATTGATAGGGCTCTTGCCGTGTCTGTCGAGATGTAATCTTGCTCCGTGTCTCAACAGCCAACGGACTGTGGCGAGATGTCCGCGGGATGCTGCGAAGTGTAATGGAGTAGCGCCATCACCATCCCTGGCGTTAGGATCCACATTGCGCTCTACAATCTAATCATTGAAATTGTTCCTATTAGAATACTTATCCTTATATCCATGGAAATATAATCGACAATATTCTGAAAATTGTTTTAAATAGCGCACTAGTTTTTGCCAGAATTTTTATCGCAGAGAAATGTATAGATGGTTAAAATAGATATTGTAACTAACACAGGCATCTACAGAATGAGTCACGTTACTTTACACGAAATACAACTTTACTGCGTTGATCTTGCAATAACTACACTTAATTCCATAATAAATTATAGCATATGTCTTATTCTAGTGTCTTAGCTACATTATTATAAAATTTTATCAAATTCTGTTTAGTACTTTTTGAGAGAAACAGTATCAAACATCCTCATAAATTTACTTGTTTAAAATATTTCTAGAATGTTCCATACATTTCCTAATGGTAATAATCTATGATAATAAATAAATGTATACTGTAGTCATTATATTTTTATTCAATTAAAGATTGCATACATTTTAATTAATTAAAAATAAATATGAAAATAATCAATGAGATATCTATGTATGCAACTAATTAAAAAACTAAGAATCTAAAGTTTCTAGAAAGTGGTTTCTATCAATAAAATGAAAGTGCATAAAAATGAGATCGAACCAATACGGAAGATATTATACCACCTAAGGTATACCGGCGATTATATCACAGAACGGGAAAATTACTATGAATATTAATACAAGTACATGTAGGGATTACGACCATAATATTAAAGAAATATTTATATAATTAGTAAGACACGATAACTTAATTGGAAAAGTGATTGGGATCTCACATCCCGGAATGAATGGGTTCGAATCCTGTTCGTGTTGTTGAGTTATTCACAATTTATGTTTTAATTGCTTTTTATAAAATATATTGGCTTACATATGTTTTTGTTAATAAATTAATGATTACTGAGTATATACTGAGCTAAAAATTCGAAATAAATGAAAATTTTATATTAAGTAATAATTATATAATTACTTTTTCTATATTAAAAAACAATAAGTTTTTATTACTTTTAATATTTTTTTTGCGTTGTTGGAAATGGATTAATTATTATATATCTTATTTTTTATATATCCGAAAACCCATAACATTATGATTAATATAAATGCTATGTCATTTGATTTTATTATTCAATACTGTAATACACACTCTATTAAACGGATTCTTGCTATTATAGTCTTGTTACTTCACGTATACCAAATAAGGTGCTAACCTAAGCAATGGTGACCCCAACGTGATGTAATTCGTAATAATAAAACATCATAGAAAAGTACTCTAAAAAAATTTCTTCATATTTAAGACACTCCCGTGTTTTATCACAGGAATTCACATTACAATCATAAGAAAACGTTATCCATATTGCATTGCTATAAACACAAAAAGTAACATCACAATACCATTTAAGATTTATGACAGCAAAAAAATATTATATGACAAACACCGTACAGATTTCCTGATTCGTGATCAAAGAAAGCTTGCTTTGTGATACTTAATTAGATGATTTTCTTATAACATTTACGCAATCTGAGTTTTAGTTGCTATAAGTGTTATGTAATGTATAATGTATGGAAATGAGTGAAGATGTCACTTACCCAAGACGTGCGAGATTATGATAATTATATTTTAATAATGCGGATGTTTGTAGTACATGATATAAGTCAGTAGTGTAGTGTAACGAAATAGACTAAACTTTGATTATGTGCCTACAAAATGCATGGAATGATAAGCATTTTATTCCCTTTGTATCTTGTCTTTTAAAGAAAATTCTACCACGTCGATTCACACTCTATCGCTCCCAAATGACTTACTTAAATTGTATATTGAGTATATTTTTGCAAACATATATATTTATAAATATGTGTGTGAGTGTGTGTGTGAATGTGTATATGTGTGTGTTCTTGCCGATTGCTGTCTCTCTATCATATAAAAGTATGAAGCTGTTATAACTATTACGTAATCAATTATATTTGATCTGATTCTGATTTAGTTCAGAGTATTCAATACTCACCATCCATTTAACACAATCCAGGCAGCCGGTCTGCGCTGCCGCATGTATGGGCAGCATACCATCTCTGGCCCTTGCATCCAACCTCCCACCGGCCTCAAGTACCAAGTACTTCAGAACAGCCAGGTGACCTTCCTGCGCTGCTAGGTATACTGGAGTGACGTCATTGTCCATCGCGGTATTAGCACTGGAAATATACATATGATATGCATTTAAATTTAACTTTATATAGGTTTTGTACGTGATTTCAAGTTTTATAGGTAGTTGTAAATTTTTTGAGATTTATTGATTACTATAATAATGATAATGTAAGTAGAGTTTAGGGCAATTTTTTTATAAGAAGTTTTTATTTTTGTACTAGGTAAAAATTACTCCAATAATAACTACCAATTTCTCAAAAGAATTTTCCTGTCTGTGGATATAACAATATAAAGCACGTGTTTTTTGTTAATCATCCAAATTGTCAATAAAAAATACAGCCTCACATTTATAATCTTACAGTGACTTCGCTCGTTTAAGCGTACAGGTGCTTTATTAACAAAAAAATATACATATAATAACGTACTAAAAAAAATTGCTAAATATTGTTTAAGTTAAATGCATCACCAGTGATGATTTTTTTTTTGTAGTAACAAATTTTCAGAGATTATATGATTAATAACTCTTCACTCATACATATATTTATTCCAAGTTTAGTTTGTAAACGTAAGGAAAATAATCAATTTTTTAAAATATATCATTAAAAGAGCAAAACATTTTACAACGCGTTTTTTTGCAACTAGATAATTCCGATGAATCTTTCAACTTTTCATTGGGATCATCCCTACTAATATTATAAATACGAAAGTAACTCTGTCTCTCTGTCTGTCTGTCTGTTACGCTTTCACGCCTAAACTACTGAACTGATTTTAATGAAATTTAATACAGAGATGGAGTTGACCTTGAGAAAGAACATAGGATAGTTTTTATCCCAGACTTTTGAAAGGTTCTCTTGGAAACGCGATATAACCGAACAACACGCGGGCGAAGCTGCGGGCGGAATGCTAGTGTAGATATAAAATTATAAAAAACACATAATACTCGACAAACTATAGAAAAAGTAAATACTATTTATGATCCTTATATAACATTATTAAGTTTCATATCAAAAACAATTCTTACTAAACCATATTTGTCGTGTTGTGTATAGTTTTAAAAGTCCAAACACTTAATATTTTCTCCGATAGACCGGTCACTGAACTTATTGGAACATTCTTGAACACATGCACTTTCTTTCTCTTGTATTGTATGAATCAATATTTTTATTAATAAAATTAACTGAATAGTTAAAAATTAATATTTATAGTTTACAATAGTTTTCAAGTTTTTTAATTAAGTTTTTAGAAAGAAATAACTTTTAAATATGTATATTTGGAAGTCGAAAATTTGATGTTTTTTCAAAATTAAGATTTATGGACATGCATACATATTTTCTTGATTAATGATTTTACATGTAATAAAAAGATTATTAAACGTTTGGAAGAAATTCCAAATAAAATTTACTAATAATTATGGAAGACGTGATGATAAGAACAAAAATTATCTCAAAATTATTACTTGTTTGAGATTGTAAGCCTTATTGAAACTGCAATATTAGAGGCTTTCATGCTGTCACTTACAGAGGCTACTTAGTAAGAAATTTATTTCATATCCTAATAAAAATCACAAATAAACACACACAAATTTAAGTCAGGAACAGAAATTAATTTAGTAAAATGTGTATTGAAAGCTGAATATAAAAAAAGCAATATTTTTACACCGATTAGGATAAAAATACAATGTTAGAAATATGTAACTGAAATGTTTCTATGCGAATTAAATATTCTATGTAATCATTTCATTCACTTATTTAATTTTCCATTGAATTTCCTTACTTATAATTAAAAAACATATGTACTTCTCACAACTGAACAAAATAAAGCTGAACATCAAACTTTGAAAGATAAATACTTGACATTATTTGCTTCGAAGATGTGTTAGCGTTTAGACTAAGAGCTTTTGATTTAATATTAAATTTACTTGTTACTAATACCGATTCATACATACATACATTGAATCAAACTCAACATGTGTGTTTGTCTTACCGTTCGCGGAACATCCTAAACCGTTCAAAGACAACTGTATTTTTTTTATATCCGGAACTAATGTGTACATCATAACATCTCAATATCAGGTTTCTCTTTTATATAGAGTTTTCACTGCTACTGTGACGTCACGCGGTCAAGTTGAGCAATAATAGTAACATGTATGAATTAATTACGTTACAAGACCATGTGTGTGTATGTGTGTGTGTAAGTATACATTTACACACACATAAATATATATATTATAATGATGAAGCAAAAACGAGAAGAAAATATATTATTTCATACAAGATTTTCACTTAATAACAGCTTTGTAAAGTATAACATTTAATATGTGGCAATTTGTTGTAACAGATTATTATATTACAAATATTTACCAACTCCATACTCTTAGTGGTCTCTGTTCATTTATACCTAAAAACGCTTCTTATTCTTTTATAACGCTTTTTAAAATTAAGACTGGATTGATTTAAAATACAAAAATTTAATAAAATTTACATAAAACATATTAAAATGAATGAAAAAAAAATTAATAATGAATAATTTATTTAAGTAAAAGTGTTTTTTATATTATATAGATGTAATATATTAAAAACTATAAAAATTAATAGTCACATATCTAATGAACGACGAGTGAAATTGAAGATTTATTTTTAATGACGAAGTCTCTTTATTCTGATAGCAAGTTCAAAGGAAAGTTATGGTGATGTAATATATTATAAAACCTATTATTGTAATTAAATGTACTTTACCGTTGAGGCCTTATAGAAATTTATTAAGAAAAATACGATTTTTTATACTTAAATATTTTTCGGTACTTAGATTTAATATATTTGATTTAATTATAACATAACAATCCTACAACTAGTATCAATACATTGATCATTTGAAGCACTAGATAATTAAGTATTTTTAAAGAATTATTTTATTAAGAATTTATAAAAACTTTTTTTTATATTAATATTGTTTTTAGATAAAAAAGAAGATTTATCACATATGTATATCCAAAAGAGATATAATCGCTTAATTTTACAATCAAGAAGATTTTTATTGTTACCGTTCCCTTCCACTGTAACTTCCATTTTTCATTTTTACATTCTTCTTATTTTTCTTATTCTTCTTCCCGAAGAACTTGCTCCTGCTGTGAGGCTGGCCATTGCTTAGCGTCATTTTTATATAATTTATAATGTTTATAAATTAATGAGACACAAAACTATAGTTTCAAATACGATTCACTTTAAAACATCACACTAAACGATGTAGAATAGAACATAATATATATTGTTAGTAATTTGATCGACAAGCTTTATTCGGCATGCGCACGCGCAGGCATCACGAATACTACTGGAGCTTTTCGTTTTCACGAGAGCGAAAGTGCTATAACTGGTATGAGTCGCGTTTTCACACGTAGTTGAATGACATCCGATATAAATTTATTGATACGCCGATAGTTCGACTTTAAGAATAACCTGTTCTTACATTATTGAATTTTGACTATTTATGTTATAAAAATACGATCAATGCTTTACTTATTATTATATTTATAGTGTATACGATAAAAATATTGATAATATAACGAAAAAAGACGATACAAAACCCTTGTATGGATAAAATCATATGGCGAGTGGTGATGATGACTCCGTGGAGCTAACCTGGCCTGCTGTGTACCAAGTCTTTTACACTACATAAGCACTGTGATGACATTACTAACACGGGGTAATCATTTGTTCTTAAGTATAAGTTTTATATAATTTCTTATATCAGTATAGCAAATTAGTTTCGTAATTTCTATGGCTGACCAAGGACCTATACGACCATCACGAACTAGAGATATATATATGAGAACTAAGAAGTGTATATATGTATATTTGTATCTTCTTCTACCTGGCAATTTCGCAGCTATAGTCAGGGTCTGCCTAACATGTTGTGAATAGTTTTGGCTAATTGTTTTTACGACCGGCCGCCTGCCTGACATCAACCCTCTTTTGGGAATGTATACTCGTATGTATACTAAATCCATGTTCGAAATACAGATTCCTTATATATATGTATATAGATAAACATAGATAGATAGATAAAATCTAAAAGAGTGACCAAAACGTAGCCATATTCACCTAAAACTATTATAACATCCAAATAGGTATAGTAGACATATTATTTCATTAAAATCACATTGTATTGTATCATCACTTCTGTAATTTGCTCTACGTATTTTCTTTAACACACTTCATTGAATATTAACACATTAGAAGTTTCTAATAACAAATGATATTATCATTTGTCGATGCTATCATATTTATATTATATAGAAAGTAATTAATTTATAAATTAATATGAATTACATTATAATATTGAAAAATGTATAGATATATGTATGTGGAATAAAATGTTAATTTGTATTAAATTATTGATTGATATGAAGTCGACGGCGATATAGCTCTTTAAATAAGGTATTATGTCTAAGCTACTAAGCTCCAAGACGCTCTTAGCATTTCATGAATTCACCGTGCGAGTGTCGGGTCCATCGTTGTAGTGAGAGGAGCTTCAACAGTGACGTGGACTTGCGACCCAGGTGTAGGTTTAAGGTTTATATAACGCGGGTTAAAGGAACACCTCCACTGTCCAAGCTACTCTCTCTACCTAAGCAAAAAGTCATCTCGTCTGTCCGTAATCACGGTTACTGTAATGTTACTCGTAATCGTAATCATTTAAATATAAAATAATATAAAACGAGTACAATCAGAATATCTAAGTTTCATTTAAAAGCGTACACTCAAAAATTTAGATATTATTATGGTAAGAATGATGTAAGATTTATTTCAAATAAATTTTGTTTAAACATTAGTACTGACATTATAGTATAATAGGGAGATTAGAGGCGAGTGATCTATGAAATTTTATGAACAAGAAGTTATATCCACCAATGGACTATACGTAAGGGGTTAAATAATGTTCTCCATTCATTTTTGTCTAGGTTCAAGCAAGAATACGATAAAATTTTAACCGTCACAATTCATTTCATTCATAAGTAAGATCGATAGTGGTAATTCTAATTTAATATATC